ATGATCATTTGAGATTTGTTTACGGGCTCAATTCAGTAAAAGTTTAATTGGTGTAAAGATCTGTGGTAAACCAATTGACAAAAAACAAAAAAGAAAAATTTGCAACGATCATTTGATTACGATAAGATAGTGGGAAAAACATCGGAATTATCATTTGAGATTTGTTTGTGGGGCTCAATTCTCAGTACAATGCTTTGCATCGAAAATTATTCAATCCGCAAGGTCTCTATCGTAACATAAAATGTTTTAAACTCATTGTAACATCTCAAGAATTGATATAATGCTGATTTTTCAGCCTAATGTAATCTTGCTAATATGGATATCGTTAAACTGCCGATATAGTAGAAGATTGAATTAATCAGTCGGCTTATAGTGATCAAAATTTTTCTTTCCCATCGATATCCAGAGAGTTCAAACCATGTCTGATTATAAATTAGTATAAATTAATTCTTGTAAATTTACTGCAAAATCACATCATTTATCAATTATCTTGCTACGTGTTAACTGATATGCATTATTTTGCTATCAATATATATATATATATATATATGTATATATGCATGTCCCAGAAAATTAAGTCTTTTAAAATCATTTATTTCAATCTTTTTTTTTCTTTTTTAATTTAAAAATTACTAGCAAATCTTGTAAATGGCGTAATTTTTACAACTATTACTATAAACCTAAGCTAGAAAATCTTTTTGATCAAATAACCATTATTTTCTTCGGCATTATATATTATTGATTTAATTTTAAATTATAATTTAAAATGGTAGCATTTGTTAATACCTTATTTCATAGTTTAATTCAGGTATTGATTCTAGGAAAGTAGCCATGGCAACATGTACAAGCACACATACATACCTCGATAATATGCTAGTTATCTTCTAAAATGTGGTGTGTTAAAATAAGATCTTGTTAGTTTGATTATTCCTTCAAATGACAAAATAATATTTAATAATCACTAATCAGGTGTTTTGTGCTATATTTATTTATTTATTTGTTAATTATTATTATTATTATTATTATTATTATTATTATTATTATTATTATTATTATTATTATTATTATTATTATTATTATTATTATTATTATTATTATTATTATTATTATTATTATTATTATTATTATTATTATTATTATTATTATTATTATTATTATTATTATTATTATTATTATTATTATTATTATTATTAT